GCCTTCCTCAGGTGGGTCCCCAGTCCCCCTGCTGCCCCGCAGGCCCCCTACCTGGGCCCTCCCAGGGCGGGACTGAGGGGTGTGCCTGGGCTGAGGCGGTGCCTTGCTCCACCCCAGGGACAACATAGAGACCCTAGCCTTGGAACTGGACTTCTGGATGGAGAACAGGACCATCTCTGTGAGCTCGGGGGGCCAGAGCTATGTCCTGAACCACTATGCTGTCCCTTACGGGGGCCCCAGGTAAGGAGCTGCTGCCAGCCTCTCGGTCTCTAGCTCCTCACTCCGGTCTGAGGGCCATGACAGCCCCGCCTCTCGGATGCTGATACTGAAAGCCCTGGGCAATCCAGGGCCCACCAAGGGCAATCCAGGGGCAGCTGAAGCAGCATGGCTCAGCCTCCAGCTTGGCCTTGGAGCCTCCCGGTGCCAGGATGCCCACTTTCCTCTTCCAGGCCAGAGGCCTACAGCAAGGATTTTGAGCTGGCGGACACGTTGCCAGAAGGTAAGCAACAAGCGCAGGAACTGGGGTGGGGCAGGGAGTCTGGTGTTGGGTGTCAGGTCTTGGTCCCTCATTCCCTGCCCCATTGTCCTCACAGAGGACCGGGTGGCTCTGTGGGCTGAGCTCAAGGCTGGGGCTGAGTCTGGCTGGGACTTCTCTTCACGGTGGCTCGTCGGAGGCCCAAACTCTACATCGCTCAGCAGCATCCGGACCAGCAAATTCGTGCCTGTCGACCTCAATGCCTTTCTGTGCCAGGCAGAGGTGCTGATGAGCAACTTCTACACCAGGCTGGGTGAGCAGCCCCGTGGGGGGGTGGGGGAGGTGGAGCTCACCCAGCTGGGATCCTACCTCAGCCTTGGCTGTGGAGCTGGAATTAGGACCCTGACTGAAGGGCCTCCAACCTCCTGGCTGGCTCCGGACCTCACCTCTAGGGCAAGAGTACAAATGGGCCCCCTTCTCCACACCCCCTCCCTTTCTTACTGGGAGGGACTACGAGGGTATGTGAGAGGACACCTGAGTCCACGCTTTCAAACTCCCTCCATTCTCTTTCCCCAAAAAACTGCCCTCGGACCTCTCGTAGCTAGGGAAATGCACATGGCCGGTGCCCTCCTAGGATGGACCCAGGAGCAGGCAGATGTGGGTCTAGAAGGTCCTACAGGGCCATAGCTCAGGAACTCTTAGCTCCTAGAGGCCGGAAATGTGGGCTCCAGGTCTGCACGTCCCCTTGGTGTCAGGACTTCTAGCCCTCGGGGAGGACAACAGGGGGAGGCCAATTTTGGCCTCTTTCTTGAAGGCATGGGACCCAAGGTCAGGGCCTCCTGGTAGCTCAGCCTAAAGAGAGTTTCACCCCAGGGAATGACATCCAAGCCACAAAGTACAGAAATCTGCAGCAACAGCACTTGGCTGCCATGAGAGCCATCCTGTGGGATGAAGAGAAAGGGGCCTGGTTTGACTATGACCTTGAGAATGGGAAGAAGAACCTAGAGTTTTACCCATCCAACCTCACTCCTCTCTGGTCTGGCTGTTTCTCTGACCCGGACGCCGTGGACAAGGCTCTGAAGTATCTGGAGGTGAGGGGGCAGCAGGGTGGGCGGGTTACTGGGGGCAGCACCACCTGCTCTCTCCCTGCTTCAGAGCCAGGGATCTCTGGCAAGTGGCAGCCAACCCTCTCCTCCACTCCCAAGTCGGAGCCTGCGGGTCCCGCTGAAGCCACCAGGGGGCAGCCCTGAGCAAGAAGAGAAAGTCCAGGGAGGGGGACACCTGTCTTGAGGAGGGCCCAGCCTCTTGGCTCCTCATCGAGCCGCCACCCACAGTCCTGAAAATGTCTGAAACCTCCTAGGACAGCCAGATCTTGACCTACCAGTATGGGATCCCGACCTCTCTCCAGAAGACAGGCCAGCAGTGGGACTTCCCCAATGCCTGGGCCCCCCTGCAGGACCTGGTCATCAGAGGTAGGGAGTAGGGAGGCAGGGATGGGGCTTATCCCAGGACCTTCCCCCCCCCTTGCATCTGGTCAGCCTGGAGGGTCAGCCTCCTGGTGCGGGGGACGTGTGAACACAGCAGGTGGGGTCTTTCTCTGGCTCTTCTGGTTTCTCAGCTCCCCACTCAGCAGACATGTGTGTCCACCCCCACCTGTCAGGGGAACCAGCCCTCCTTTCTCCCTCCAAACCCAGGCCCTGGGGAAGGAGCACGTTGGCTTTTCACGCAGCTTATGATGAAGGTCTTAAGGCCCAGGCCCCTTTCCCTCCTAGAGGAGAGTAAGGCTCAGGCCTCTGCTCCCCCTGGGATGGGGACTTAGGAGATTCAGGGTCCTGCCTGGGCGGGGGGGCATCTAGGTCTGGCCAAGTCTCCTTCACCTCGGGCCCGGG